AAAAAGAATTGATTTTTTTTCTATTTTCTAAATTATGTGCATTATCATAATTCTTAAAAAAAATTTAAATATGTTTCATTATCACAATATGAAAATATATTAAACAATCTTATAATATTTAAAATATTAAAAAAGAAAAAAATATGACATGTATAATATGTATATTATAATATGCATTATATTTTTGATTGTCTAGATCGAAATTCAATACTTATAATAGTAAAATTACAAAGGAAATGAATTTGTTTTACATCTAATGTATGGTTAATTTAAAAATAAATTTATATTTATACTTACTTACTTATATATTGTATATTTTTCGTAATAGACATAATTATTTCTCTTTCTTTTATTTATTAATATTTTCTTAAAATCAATTAGATATATTTAAAATATGTTAATAATAGCATTATTTATTAAAAAAAATTTTATTACAGATTTGTATTTTTAATGATATCTTTAAAAAAATTATAAGTAATAAAAAATTATATATCAATAAATATGATTAAATTAGAAAATAATTAGTATTTCACTATATTTAAATTTTTTAAATTTTTTGGATAATTGTGTTAAATAATTTTAATACATTTAATAATAATGAAAAATTGTTATATTTATGTTTAAAATATAAAATGTTTATAATAATCAATCGATAATTTAAGATTATATACTTTTTGAATTAAATTCAAAGCAACGCAAGCAAATAAATCTAAAAAATTTTTTATCGAAATTTATATTAAATTAAATTTCCCATATAATTATTTGTTATACTAAATTTTATTTCCATTATAAAATCTATATTAATTATACGTGTACAATTTATGCAATCTTTTTTTAAATTTCTTTTAAGAATATTTAAGATATTTGATAACCTATGGATAATATACATATTATCAATATTCAATGTAAATATCGTTTTTAATCGACTTACCATTTCAGTCTATCGTTAAACGATAAAAAAACAAACTATATTCAAATATTTTTTTAATAATAATTTATATATATTTAGAAAAAATATATAAAAATGTGGATGAATTTTCGAAGATGTCTTGGAGCAGTGAAACAGATCAATTTATTAAATAACCGTCAAGCTAGTAATAATTGCAAAATTTTTATTTATAGTCATGATGTAGAAATGGCAAAAAAAAATGAATTACCAATTGTTGTCTTAGAATCCACAATTATTACTCATGGAATGCCTTATCCTGATAATTTAAAGACAGCTATTCAAGTGGAAAATATTGTCAGAAAAAAAGTGAAGAAAATGATTTATAAATTATTGAAAAAAAAGTAAAAAAAATACAAATACTTTTTATGTTATTTTAGGGTGCTATACCTGCAACTATAGGAATTTTAAATGGACAAATACATGTTGGTTTAAATAATGAACAACTGCAAATATTAGCAGAATCACATTCTAAAACTGTTAAGTGTTCAAGCAGAGACATATCAACAATTGTTGCTCAAAAATTAAATGGGGGAACAACTGTTAGTGCAACAATGTTAATAGCAAATCTATTACATTTGCCTATAATGGCAACTGGAGGTATTGGTGGTGTTCACCGTGGAGCAGAAATGACTTTTGATATTAGTACTGATTTAATAGAACTTGGACGTACTCCTGTAGCTGTTGTTTGTTCTGGTGTTAAATCTATATTAGATATTGAAAAGACATTAGAATATCTGGTTAATATATTTTTTTTTGCATTTTTTAAAAAATAATTATTACAATAGATATTTGTAACTATTTTTATTTATAGGAAACTCATGGAGTTCCAGTTATAAAAATTGGTAAAACAAATTATTTTCCTGCATTTTATTGCACTGAAACATTTCAGAAAATAAAAGCGCCACATAGAGTATCAACTTCAGAAGAAGCAACAGAAATTCTTAAAAAACAAAGAGAATTAGGTTTTCAAACAGGAATATTGTTTACTGTCCCTATTCCTGAAAAGTATGCATTAGATTCTAAAGAAATGGAATCAGCTATACATAAAGCTCTAGAAAATGCAAAATATCAAAATATCAGTGGAAAGAATGTTACACCATTTTTACTAGAAGAATTAAATAGAATTACACATGGTCAATCTCTTCAAGCTAGTAAGTAATTAAATTCTTTGATATAAAATTAAAAAAAGTATATATAAGATAAATATTTAATTCATATATTTTTTTTAAATTACGAGATATGGCACTCATAGAAAATAATGCAAGCATAGCAGCAGAAATTGCAGTGAATTTGGCAAAAAAATATCTTCAAAATTCTTTTAACAATAACACATCCGAATGCATTTTTGTATCAAAACGAAATCCAGTAAGTAAGAAAAGAAATATTTATATATTCTAAAATGTATATAACATTATCTATTTTGTTTCCATTATGCAATTTGTTTATGTTATTGTTTATGTTATAGATTGTAATTGGTGGAGCAATAATGGATACCACATTGCAAATAAAGGAGTCTGAGATAAAAGTAAGTCAAATCTTAAGTCAGAATTATACTAAATAACCAATTTTTCTTATATTCATATATCAGAGAAGTTAGAACGTTTAACAGTATTTACATACAATTATTACGACCACATAAGTTTTATGTACATTTAAGAATATTGAATAACATGAACTTATAATATAGTATGGGAAAGAGTGATATGATGTAATAGTAATAGAATCACTAAAATTATAAAGCATGATTAAAGTAAAAGTTAAAAAATTATGCAATATATTGAAATATAAGAAAAATATAAGATAAAACATTTTGAAAAGGAATATTTTTTTAAATTAAATTTCTTTGAATTGTTTAAATATATATTCTTAATGTATCAATCCAAAACGTATTTGTAAGAATTTTTCTAAAAAATTGAAAAAAAATCTATTTGAGATAAGCGTTTTCTATTTTTTCTATAATAATATGCACAATTATGAAATTAATGAATTGATTCTATATTTACACTTTTTCCCATACTTGGCTATAGTAGTCCTATTGGGTTTACCATGTACGAAATAACGTACATATCATAACTAATCATTTACAGATACAGTAAATTGGATTTCTTAAGCAGGCACTATTCAAAGCTCCCTCTCTTTCATTCTTCTCAATATACATATTACATTTAAACATCAGATATAAATTACTACACATGTTAAATTTTTTTAAAACCTTTCTTATGGGATCATAATTCATTATTATCGGGATATATTGTATGACTAAAACATAGAGATATGAGTCTTTTTAATTTAACTATTTGACGATTGAACGAATCAAAGGAACGAATTAAAACATGAAAAATAATATCGTCCCTTTTTAGTTAAAAGTTTTAAAGCTTATTCTAATTAAAAGTAGCATGTAGATCTTCACTTCTGGGCGGTTTGCAATAACATATTTGCCTCTTTCTAAATGATCACTTTAAAAATCAATTAACACTATCTATTATTTGTATTACATATAATATATCCTTATATACATTTAGTGGCAGAGGCTGTATGTCTGCGAGGTGTAAGCTTTTATATTATTATTGTAGCTTAGTACATTCAACGATAATTCGATGGCCTGGTTAAGAAAGAACCCTTGAAATGCAATTTTTATCTTTTCTTTTTTTTTTTATAATGATTAAAAATTATGATATGAAAAAAAGGAACATATGTATTGAAAAATGACACCTTATGCGTTAATGAATGTAATAATGGTTTCTTTGATAGTAATCTATGCTTTATAACATACCATGCTATAGAATACCCTGTTTTCCAGACTGATTATGAATTATTAAATTATGAAAAAGACAAAATATTAAATCTGAAGTTTAATGATGAATCGTGTTAATTCGTATAGTCCCATGATTTAATTAATATTCTCGTTATTCTAAGCAAGAGTAAACGAAATGATGTTTCGACATATCATTGAATCATGTGAATTCTGGCTTTTTTCTTAAACAGACAATCGATACTTAGTATTTGACTACCATATATCGCTATATACAGTTCTACTAATACGTATATTCATTATCTTTGCATTCATAAACGTATATAATCCCTAAGATTCGATTAATCCTAGCTAGGAAGCCAATTACTTTGAGTATCGTATTATATTTATACGACTTACTGCACAAATCAATACAGACTACTCGCGCTGCATGTATCGTTTTATATAAAAAGAACTAGGAATTTATAGTCGTTATTCTTATGCGGTGACTTGTGTGTTTGTCTTTTTGTGTATATAAAAACACATATATATCTACTATATATATACATATGTGTTTTTTTTTCTTTTTTTTCTTTTTTCTTTTTTTATATATATATATATATAAATATATATATATATATATTCATTAGCATACGTAGATCATCGAAACAAGACAGATTTTCTATTTCTTTTTTTCCTTTCTTTTTTTTTTTTATAATCATATTTTTGCAGAAGAAGAATCAATTTGACAGTAATATCCCACAATATCCTCCGATAACTATCGCATTTTAATTCTCGAGAATAAAATAAATTAAAAAAACATTCGCATGATAAAAACCGATTAACCTTTCACACATCTCATTGTTATCGTAATTTATGATAAAAAAATTTGGTCACGAGCAACACATTATATTCTATTCTCGTGATCTAACGCAATCGTGCGTATTCGAATAACTGAACAATTTTTATTTTTTTTTTTATATATTTTATTGGATTGTATTCCAATTTGTATATTGGAAACAATGAAAATTGGAGCATAATCTTTATTATTTACATAATTGAACTCGCGATAAATATAATAATAACATTAAAATTTTTTAACTAAAATAGGAATCAAATAACAGAAAAATATCGTATTTATGTAATAGCGACGATAGTTATATTTTATATATTGTGATATACTACTTATGATTCGCGCGGTAAAAATAAAATCAGTATATAAGGGCTCCGTGTTTGAAATGTTTTTTAGTTCGATTTAAAGAGAAATAGTTTCGTAGGAAAACTTACTGCTAAAAATAAATCTACAAAAGTAATTGATTATTTTCTTCTTCTTTCTTTTTTTCTTTGTTCACCGACCATGCGAGGACGGAAAGACATGTAAAGAATACGCGTAGAAAGAGAATCGAAAGGATACCGAAAGGCATTCACAGGCCTTCCTCTTTCCTTTTTGTAATTTCGACGCACTTCTGTTTTTTCACTTTTTTTCTCTTTTCCATAATTTTTGTTTGTTTTTTTTCTTTTTCTTTTTCTTTTTTTTTTTTGTTTTATCCCATTGATTTCTTGGTTCGTTCTTCTTTGCAATTTGTTCATGTCGATTCTCGCTTCATCGTCCGTTATGTGTCGTTACGCAAAAAGAAATTTATTTTGTTCATCAGCACTTCGAATAGCATTATCATGCAGACTTTGCACTATGTATGATGTCACGAGAAAAATGTATCTTTAAAATCTCATTTATTTAGTGAATTCCACTTAATACATGGTGACTTCGAAGAAACGAAGCTGATAAAATTATACACTAGTCTAAACTAGCCTTGATTGAAACAGTTTCATTTTGTAAATAAATTTCTATCGTCAACTAACAGGATTCAGAGCTTATTTTATTCGATAATATACGAGGATTAACGATACATTTTTCTTGCAACGCGCAAAACTTTGAACGTTATTCGCTTATTGTGGGCTGGTGTACTCGTGAGGTCAGTAGAATCTTTAGAAACCTTAGCTCCGGTTTGTGGACCTATCCTTTAAAAAATGAAGATACGCCTTAGTATTTTATATAACTTGATTTGGTCGTTCGTTTATGTTATTAATCTCGTCGCGATATCGATTTATTTAAACTTTTAAGTTAAACTTTTTGGTCTTTTGGATTCTATATTTCTTATTTATTTATTTATTTTTTCATTATTCTAATATTCATCCCTGCAATTTTACTTAATTTAATGATACTCGAATCGGACGTGACTTATCTATTTTCGCGATATAAATGCTCGCAATACAGCACTTCGTTTTATACTAATGGAATAATCCTATCTATTCTAGAAAATTTTGGTATATATCTATAAAAATTAACGATGTGGTTGTCAGTTAATCTCGTTTTCTAAAAATATACCGAAAACTTGACTCTAAGAATCAACATTACCAAAATGCTTGATTCTAATTTGATCACCGAAATTCATGAAACGAATGGTGGATAGAAGAATTCGATGAAAATAAAAGATCATTAATAGAATTAAAATTAACGAAATAATTAAATTCAATACGATTGACGCAAATCCTCTCTTCGATAATGAAATTTAATTGAATCAAAATAAGTGGAACTGATTATCGATGTATTTTTTCTCTTTTCACTTCTCACTCTATTCTGTTTGAAAAAAAAGAAATTGGATAAATTGTTGGCGTCCTCTTTGAAGTTATTTTTTCTTTCTCGTTATTTATTGAATATTTATCACACATAAATATAAAATAATTTAATATATACATAAATATTTTTTATATAGGAAAACAAGTTTATAATTAAATGGACGTTCGAAATAAATTTATATACATTTTTATTTCATTTTAATGAGATAATAAAAATAGAAAGATATTGAGAAAATTAATAAAAAAAAAAAAAATTAATTTAATATTTTAGCAACTTGTAATTTCAAAACTCAATTTATATAAGCAATGTTCATTTAATTACAAAAGAAATGAAGATATTTAAAAAAACAGAGCATTATTTGAAATTATAATTTCAAATAAATTATGCGGTAACGATCATTAATTATACGTTTGACTTACGATAATTTAATGATACGTATATATGCTCTTAATAATATTCTTAGTAACATTTCCTTTATTAATATTTAATTAATAGTCACGTGTTTACGAGTCTTGAATTTACAGATTCCTTCTGGTCGCCAATAATTCATCGATGGAAAATAAAAAAAAAAAAAAATCGATCAAATCGCAAAGAAAAAATGGATATAAAGAAGATAGCAAGTGATAAAAAATATTCCCCCTACCTTTCAGAAAAAAAAAAAGTAAAATCATTCGACTATTATTTGATGAATCAGCATTATTCAAATTATTATAGAGTCGACATTTACAGTTTATTTAATCATTATTCGTATTTACGCAGACGTCAGTGATTCGATAATTGCCGGGACTGCTCACGACATTTTCTTGGATTTAAATTCACAGATTTAGTAAGTAACTAATCAATTAACGAAGAAACGAATCGTGGGTGTTAGAAAATATCACTACGATATTAATACGAGATTAAACGAAAAGTTTAATATTGCAGCAAAAAAAGGATAAAAAAACTATAAGTCTGCAGAGGATGGGACTAGATCTCTAAACCGGTATGAAATTACGAAACTCGAGAATAATCTATTCGTTTCTTATACTCGGCGTAAAGATACGAAGAAAGATACGTTTGTACGAACAACGCGTGATTTGAAAGGCAAAAAAAAAAAAAAAAAAAGGGAAAGGAAGGATCA